ATATATATAATTGTCACACATAAAAGTATCTAAATTTAATAAATCTCTCTCATTTATTCCGTAGGAACGCGAGCAGAAAAGTCGGGCGGAGAACAGCACCGTTAATAATTTGCCTCTCGCTGCTGATGACAATGGAAGCAAAGACAGTGGCAGCTACGAATGTGACAAACGCGTCATCGCTAGCGGTATCGACGCAGAAGCCGTTTACAACGACGGAAGTAGTTTATCAACGATTCGCCATAGAGCCGATGGATCAAACCGCGGTGATTGGCAGTAGGGTGACGCTTCCATGCCGGGTACTCGATCAGAAGGGGCCCATTCAATGGACCAAGGACGACTTTGGTCTGGGAGCAGTTAGGAATCTCACCGGATACGAGCGATACGCCATGATCGGCAGCGACGAAGAAGGTAAGTGGATAAGATCATCTCCCGGAAATTCGATTTTCACGCTTAAATTAATCCTTCGTCGGGCATCCGCAAATGCGCTCGCGGACACTGGAATTATGCAAAATACGGAGAGTGATCTGCAATCATCGTACGAGACACTTTTTGTTATTTGTGGAAAAGAATCTAAATGATTTAAGAATCTATAAGATTCTTTCCAAGATCTCCGATAATCCCCTATCGTTTTAAAATTCACAAAATGACGCCGATCACAAATCTGTTTTGTACATTAACGCTTTTCGATACGCGTTCTTTCGAGCGCGAATTTTTAACGGCGTTTAAATTTCCTATTATAATAAAAAAAAGCGCACTTTGCACCAACGGGGAGGATTATTTAAAAATCTTTATATACACTACACATCAACTATAATGCGGCGCCCCTAGGCTGTGTACTCGCCCAAATTCAATTTTCGGCCGCAAGGTATTGATTTTCTGCTGTGTCGAAAAAATGTGTACACACGTGTGTGGGGGCTTCTCTCCACGAAAACAGCAATTCAAAACAAATAAAAAAAGCTTTAAAATTTACATCTTGCTCATATGTTTTATTTCTCAGTGAAATCTTATTGCTATAATCAGTAAGACATAAGACGGAGGAACAAAGTGTAATTGTTTTCACTGAAGATTAGTAAATATTTATTGATCTTTGATGAAACATGGTATCACTATTCGCTCAGTTGCCCGTGAATTTTTCGCGCGTCACGAAAAAATATTTCGCCTCGTTCACAGATTACACGTTCGCGAGTATAGCAATTCTCACACTTGACACACGAAAAGATACTTGGATACAGAACTCACAGAACCAATATCAGTAAGTAAAGCACGTACATATTGTGAGGTGGAAACCAGTATGACAGAAATGAAAAGGATATATTTTCTTATCCACAACTTTCAAAAATATCTATTTTTTGAAAATGAGAAAAAATCGATAATATTTTTAATATCGAATTATCTTTAATGTTGCTCATAATGGTACATCACATGAATTGTTAAATTAATTTAATGTAAAATAATTAAAATTATTAACTTAAAGAAATTAATTGTAGAAATAAAATTACAAGCTTTAACGAAATAATATATTTTTATTCATATTTGATGATGACACAGTTTCGAAAAGATTTATTTTACACTTTCAGCTTCTTTTTGTGCGAGGCGTGACCTCCTTTTCAGTTGTACCATGATTTCCGCTTCACCCTGTAAAGCACTTCCGGAAGAGCTACGCTTTTGTTAGCGCGCTTTAAAACAAAGATGGACCTCGCGTTATTCTTGCGTCGAGTCTACGTCGCATAAAGCCGATACAGTTCCTATTAAAAGCCACTACAAAGTTAAATTAGTTTCCTAACGAGTTACTAAAAAATGCCACCCGACACTAGTAATACTTGCTGGTATAGGAATATTTACACATGTAAACGTTCTTCCATAGTATGCGAAATAATCCCCGTGCGAGATCCTCTCGAGAATAACACATTCTTTATTGTAGAATTTTTAATATACAAAACTTCATATAAAACTCGCGAGTTAATTTCAAAACATAATAGCAAAGGGAATGAGGGAATAGAGAAATTTCGTCCAATCAGTAAATTGTGTCGGCAAATGAAAGGGTGATGTTCAAATAAAGACCTTCACGGTTCACGTCCTGGCCTCAGCAGCACGAGTGAGCTGATGATGTTAACGTTGCTCGCGAATAAACTCGAGAGACACAAACGCAAATAACAAAGCACAGCCGAATGAAATATTCTTACCGCGGACAGTATATAGCGATAATGACAAAGATAGACGATAAAAAAAAAAAAAAAAAAGATTAATGCATCAGAGAAATATACGACGGCAAATTTTTCGGCACGGTGGGAACGAATGATTTACGCGCTCGATTTCTCAATAAGCGTGAAATTCCTTTCCCAAGTCTCTATAATTCATAGCACGAATCAAGCGGAACGTTGTATAACTCGTGTAGTGAAATGAAGCGACAATTACACCTACGATTAAAATGCACGTTAGAAAATTGGTGAGATCTAGTTTCGCCGCGAATAGATATTGTTATTTTTCACTTTGAAATGATGAAGCGAATATGTAAATAAATGCGGGAGCGAGCGATTAAAGAGGGAAAAATGTGATATGATTACAATAAAGTGAAGATAGAATTCAATGAAACAAGAACCTTTGAAATTGCGTTCCAATTCCGTTAATGCTATGATTGCGCATACCGTGATAAAGCAAAGCTTTTTCATTGCGATAGAGGCGGAGCGGCGAACTGGTTTATTTCATCCGCCCTGTATACGTGTATGTATACGTACGATACATACGTATGTATATATATATATATGTATATATATATATATATGTATTCGTTTCAACATATAGATTGTCTTTCGGCACGCGGCGCGTATCTTTCCGCGCCCGCTGCATTCGTCATTTAATTCCGCAAAAATCAGCGCGCGGAAAGCGAAACGATCCGAACGTTTATTCAATCAAAATTTGTAACGTGTTTCGCGAAACGCGCGCTGTCCCTGCGCATATTGGAACCGGTGTGGTCCTATATGCGAACGTCGGCGGTTATTTTTTTATCTCTATTCGTTTTTCGGTTACGGTATTTGCCGGACGGAGGATTAGTCGTCGGTGCTCGCGAAGATAGAGCGATCCCCCACGATATCCCCGCCGATATTCCATTTCCTGCATTCACAATACGTTCCAAAATATTACACCGCGCGTTCGGCAATATTCCTAATCCGGGAGGGGGGGGGGGATGGGGAAAAAAACAGATATCGCATTACATTTATTCGGCTAATAAAAGTGCCATATATATTGTTGTCGTTAAACCACTGCATTCCGAATATCTTCGCTATTTGCCGTAAAGGTAAATCTTCACACCGAGTAGCTAAATATCATTTTTTTTTTTTTTTTTCATTATACTCGAGCGTAATTTAAATATGATTTTTCACGTGATTAATTAAACTGACGATTTAAATATTCCTTTTTCTCTCTCTCTCTCTTTCTCTCTCATTCGATTATTTAAATGTATATATATACAAGTGTAATGATATTTTTTTTTTTTTTTTTTTTTTTTTTTGTAAATTTGTTGTTTCACTTTACATAGTTTATTATACAGTCTGCGTTCCTGTGCATTTAATAGTCGCCATATGCTCACAACGAGTCTAGATCCGTGGTGCATTTTAGTAGTAATGAGCTACGTATGCATTGCTCTAGTATACATGTATTCATAATGAAATTTCGCGGAGAATATTGCAAAAGTTTTTGGTGCCTAGAGTTGGAGGGATGGTCACGTGGACGCGCATACGACTAACTTCTATTCCTTTTTTTGATAGAAACTGTCGTCTCTCACGTCTCTTTCGCAAAGATCTTTTGTGGGATTGCCGACGATGGCGCATTATTCAAAAGTAGGATTAGATACACAGGTGGCACTATGTCCCGAAGCTGAACATTGTACGTGCGTTTCTCGCTGGGTGCGTATATATTCGCGCGAACTTGCCCAACAATCACAGTGTGTGTTGGAACGATAACGCTCGCGCGCGTTTGAAATCCAGTTTAAGCCGAGGAACCATAATATACTTGTAACTATATGCCGTTGCACGATGCCTTGGTCCTCGTTCATTCTTCTCCTACACCGTATAAGCGCGCCCCGTCCTACGTGTGGCACGTACCCGCGGTAGCAACGCCTGATTTCCATAAAATTATTGCAGGTTTACTGCGCCATGGCTCTATGGCTTGTAACCGCAATGTTGTTGCACTTTACTCGCCACCTTTTCTAACCCTGTGCTACATGTTTTCATAATGAGAGAAGAACTGCAGAAACTATAAATTAGAAGTTTTTTTCCCTTTTTTTTCCCTTTTTTTTTCCCCACATAAATATACGACATCGCGAAAAGAGAGGTTAATAAATTATTTTACAAGTAGAGAAAAAATAAAAGTAAAAAATATGTACAGAGAACACAACTGATTTTTATGCACTCGAAAATTAATTAATAATACAGAACACACAGTACGAAAATTCATGCTAGTGTGACGATGATGCGATCAACTATCGGAAAAAAAAAACTATCTGGGAGAAAAACTATGCAATAGAAAAACCGGCTTTGGTTAACGTTTTTATATATTTTGATTTGAGTATAAAAGAGAAAGCTCGATGTTTTCAAGCTTTATCATATATGACTGACAACCAAACGAGGCAAATGCATCGGGGTTAGTTTTACTAAATTACGTGTCAGTTTTTGCATCACTCATTTAACGTGACGGTATAATACTACATTTTGTTTTTTTAGAAATATTGTGTGATGTATTGAATTCTAAATAATATTGAGTCAAGTATCATCCCAAAATCAAAATTTTGCGATAAAGAATAATTTTCAATCAAGTTTATGTTTAAAAGAAAAACCGGTTTTAAATTCGAAAAAAGTCGACTGTTCGACTGAAGACATACTAACAATAAGTAATAATAAGGACGCCCTATATATTTATGAAATATATAAACGGATTCTTTATTATATTTTTTAAATATTTTCATTATATATTTAATAAATATATGATATCTAAAAATTTCCTCTACTATACAATCTTAATCTCTATTCAGTATTGGCTCTTTCCTTTTTTTAATCTACAGTATTAAATTCCCAATTAATTTTAATTAAAATTTGAATCTTTATAAAGAGAAAGAGAGGGAATTACTTTAAGCGGTACATTATACAAGCTATGGAAGATAAACGCGCGCGTCTTGAAATATATCAATATCCGAGCAAATACCTGGCGGCAGATGTGCCGGAAACGAAATCACAACACACCGCGGTCGGTCGGTCGGTCGGTTTTAATCGGCGTACGATATCTCGCACATATCGATGTATATACATACATACCTACGTACGGACGGATAACGGCGTCGATAGAGCCAAGTCTTTAATTCGACGTCGTGTGTATGCCGCGGGCGGGGGAGAGAGGAGCGGCTAAGTTTAAATTAG